GCTGCCTCTCATTCTTGCAAACCCTGCTGCGCACAGGCTCAAGCTACTCGGCCTGCGCTTACGTGGGTGAGTTCTGTTATTTCTGTGTATCGGACTTGCCCAAAGACGTCAATCATTGCCTTGCCAGTTGATTTGTGTGAGAAGTAACCTCGTTTTAATGAGGATGAGTGACTGCTAGCTGGTTATTGGGAGTGGAACCTCTGAACTGCATTTTGGGATTGCCTTTGCAATGTGGGTATCATTGGTTAGACTGGCATTTGTTGGCAACCCCTACTTGTCCTGAGGGCAATTGAGAGTCAGCCACATTGGCAGTGGGTCTGGAGTCACGTGTAGGCCAGACCAGGTAAGGATGGCAGCTTAAAAGCAGTATAGTGTGGGTGCTAAACCAAACAGTGAATGTTGGAGAAACTCAGAGGTGTGGAGAGTGGGGAGAAAGACAACTTCACATTTTCGGTCTGGTTTGACTCTTCCTCAAAACTGAAAGCTATTGGGGAATGTTTGAGTGTTTTTTTTTTTAATACTTTTGACAGAGGCAGAGGAGCAGTGAACAGATGGTTCAGAGCTCGGTGATAAAGACAAAAGGCTTATTAAATGGCAGTGAAAGAGGAGGAGAGTGGCTGTAAAATGGATGTGAATTGAGGTGTGAAAGGCAGGGAATATGTCCTCTTCGTTGTGACCGAAGTAAACAAGATGAGGCTTTGAGGACTGGAGGGAGAGAGAATGTCGGAAAAATGGATGCAGTCAGGTCTCCTTCCCCGAAGGCAGCATTGAACCAGATGAGTCTACGATAACAGTCAGAGGCTGGACTTGCTTTTTAATTGCAGAGGTTTTTATAGAGTCGAAATGTCACTGTCTGCCGTGGTCGGATTCAAACCCAGAATGTTACCTCGAAGTTCTGCATTATCAGTTCATTGACATTGCCGTTAGTGTCACTCCCTGTTCCAGAATGTTCCATGCTGCACGTTTGCAGATTTGTCCCACACAGGATTAATGTTCAAAGACCACGTCATCAAATCCATCTGAAACATTGTTCAAAGTTTTTTAAAAAAACTATTCATTTACGAGGCAGGGGCAACACTGGCTGGGCCCAGCATTTATCACCCCGTCCCTAGTTGCCCCCTTGAGAAGGTGGGGGTGAGCTGCCTTCTTGAACCGCTGCAGTCCATGTGCTGTGGGTTGACCCACAATGCCATTAGGGAGGGAATTCCAGGATCTTGACCCAGCGACAGTGAAGGAATGGTGAGATATTTCCGAGTCAGGATGGGGAGTAACTTGGAGGGGAACTTGGAGGTGATGGTGTTCCCATATATCCACTGCCCTTGTTCTTCTAGATGGAAGTGGTCGTGGGTTTGGAAAATGCTGTCTGAGGATTTTCGATGAATTTCAACATTGTACACTGATAGTAGATAGTACACACTGTTGCTACTGAGCATTGGT